TAGACCAGTATCAAAAACTTTTTCTAGAAGAAAAAAATCGAGAAAAAAATGTCAAAAAAATGAATAATACTAAAATTTCAGTACTAAAAATGGTGCGCGGCGCGCCACATTTTTCGTCATAACTTTTTTCATCCTCAATCTTTTTTTCGAAAAAAACTAAACGGTTCTGAGTTTTTGAATCGAAACAGCTATCAAACCATACAAAGCTCGATGCTGAAAAAAAATTTTTTTGAAAATTCGTCTGCGGTCCCTAGCTTTTATTGAACAAAAACGTGACAAGTTATGGGACAAATTTTTGAAAGTGAACCATTTTTCTTAGATTCGATTTTATTGAAATGAGATACCGATTCATCGTAACTGAAGGAGATTTCAAAAATAAATATTCATTTTTCAGTGAACATTTTTTTGCGTATAAACTTTCAGACGACTCAAATATTTTTTTGTTACTTCTTAACTTTATCGAATTCTAACAACAAAATAAACTGAAAATCTTTTTCCAGTCTCTAAAACAGATTATTCTATAGAAGCTGTCTCAAAAATTTGAAAGTTTTTCTGTATGAAAATAGTTTTTTTATTCACTTCTTTATTATTCCTCTGTTGTTAAAATTGTGAATCTACGAAAACTCGAAAAAAATTTATATAGAAAAATGAGGGAAAAAGCTAAAGGATCTCTAATTAGTAAGATGAACCTATAGATGAGGCTTCTCGAATTTTTCTCAAGACTCAAATGAGAAGTACTGAGGCATTACTAACCTAAAAAACGATTTTTAATTTCTAAAAAACTCATAGTTTATTCACCGCTAGCCTACCGCCTAGATCAGTGAATGATTTTTCAATTTCTAGAAATAAAATTCATTTTTGACATACACTTTACTAATGATAGCTTCATACTTTCGCTAAAAACTGCATTTTCCTAATAACCACTCAAAAATGTTCATTTTTCCAACTTCTCCTCCCAGAACCACGTCCAACCCATTTTTAAAGACCCCGAAAGCTCTCGTTTTTCACTTCGTTTTTTTTTTCGACTTCATTCCTCCATCTGTTGGAGCCGGCAAAAATTAACGTTTAGTGCTTTTTCGCTGCTCCCTCTGGCGATTATATTGGTGGAAAGCGTCGTTTCGGATGTTTTTGCAGAAAAATTTGAGCCCAAATGGGTGCCTGGGAGCCGGCTCTTCTCTCCTTTCCATCTCCTTTCCAAACAAGGCTTCTCTGTCTTGTTTCTGGACTTTTTCCTGGTTTTATACTGGTTAAATTCGGGAACAGCTTGAAAAGTAGGCCAGGACTTATTTTTCGTATTTCAAGCCACAGTGGGCACAGAGAACTATCGAAAAAAGCTTGATTTTGGGCCTTTTATAGAAATAATCTAACATTTTTTTGATACTATAGAAATACCTATATTCAATCAAAATAAGAAAAAGAAATTTCTTTTTCTACGTCCCACTCAAAATGCTCTTATAATCCCCATTTCCCCGCCATTTATCCTTCCTTTTTCATCTTTCATCTTTCCATATTTTTTTCCTGCCAAAACGTCTCACCAAAGCAATAAGTTGTCATACTTGTTGAACGTTATTTCCAATGCATTGCAAAATTTCTCATTTTTTTTTTCCTTGCCTTTCTTTTTTTTCTCGGCTTCGTCAAGCCCACCGAAAATTGTCCTTCCGTAGATTAAAGATCGAGAAAAAAAGGAAAAGCTCAGAGAGGAACCGAAATTTTGGGAAAAAAAGGAGTTTTGTAAAATTGGCAAAAATGTGATCCTTCTCAATAGTTGTTACAGAATATCTTATAGGGCTTTCAAAATGCAGGAAATGCTGCAGTAGACCTTCAACCTCTATAGCAACCACTACAGTTTTCCTCGCTCCTCAGTATTGCTCATCACTTCGTAGATATTGCTCATACTACCATCATTCATCATCATCACCAATTAAAAGGTAATTTTCTTAGTCTCGCAAACTCCAAAAATGCAGGAAATTCTTCAGTAGTACGCTTTCCAAGCTCCTACCGCAGCTTTCCAAACTCTTCAGTATTGTTTATACTGTCATCACGAATCCAATTGCAGTTTTCTCAGTCTTCCAACTAGCCAAACAGCCAGAAAATAAAGCAGTACACTTTCCAAGCCCTGATGTAACCATTCTAGCTCTCCTATTCACCACTTTTGCTCAAACTAAAGCTTTTCTCAGTCTCCCAACTCGGCAAACTCTAGTCAAAAAGTTCAAAAACGCCAGTGCCAACGATCTTCAAACAATGATGGGCGTGGCCTCGTTAGTGTCGTCTGTCTAAACCTCTGACGGAAAAAAAAACGGCGTCCAAGTCAAGTCGGGTCGGGCCGAAATATGGGCGTGGCTACGATTTTGTTGCCATTTTTGGTTTATTGCCTAGTCCCAACGGAGAACCAGCCGTTTCAAACGTGTGTTTACTGCCATTGCCACCACGTATTTCTACTGGGGAGCCTTTTAGTATAATGAGCATCTGTTGCTCATGTTAGAGATGCTCAATTTCCTTCTCGATTGTGTCTTCCGCCGAATTGTTTCGTGCCACAGAACGAATTTGAATTTTTTGTCAATTTTTCAACATCTGATAGATTTTTGAAACGCCATGGTCGCACTCAGAATGGCTCAAAGCGTCGCGGTCACGATGCGGTTGGAAGCTGTCTTAAAATTCAGAAACGTGCTTCCATTATTTCAGATGCCCTTACGCGCAAGTAGTTTTGAGTCAGGCGCTGTTTTAAAGACCTTTAGCTAAGGGCAAAAATGGTTTTTGAGTTAGTGAGAATCATATGAATTGATAGGTTTTCTGGGGAAGTTTTTAAAAATCAGAAAAAAAAATTCAGAAGCTACTGAGCTTTTGACTCTCCGAATGATATATTTTTCCAGATCCCACTAGGCTATTTTTACCAATATTAGAACTTTCAAACCTCAGTTCCATCATTACGAAATCATGCAAAATATTTTTCTAGCAAAAAATTAAAACTATCGTTCTTGCCCGGATAACCCGCTCTAATTCATTTTTTTATTTGAAAAAAATCTATTTTTTTCAGTTTTCTCCGTTCTAACTCCTGATTTTGCTCAATTTCTTTCGAAACAGTTAAAATAATCGGAAAAGCTTGTTGACGATCGCCTCGTTTCTCTGATAACGTACTGTTTGTCGAACAAATTTGATTTCCAGCCGATTTTATGGTTTTTTTCTGTTTCTATTTTTCTCACGTACGTCAGAATAATACTTGGAGCGTGGGGAATTGAATTAAAAGTCGAACAGTTCGAAAAACGTCATCATGTGGTTTTTGAAGCTATTGCGTTTCGCAAAAGCTTCTTCTATTTTTTCATTTTTCACAAACTCCTAGTGGCTCCTCCAGTGTTTTTTTGAGACTCTTACTCGCAATTTTCTTTGCAGGACGCGACTTCAAGGGCAAAACTTGTCAAAAAGTATACTTTTTCCCCTCAAATGTAGAAAAAAAATCCATTCAAACTCTCTAATGTTGCCATGTAATCCCAGTAAAGAGTTCGCTCAAGGCTTAACCAGTTTCGAAAGAGGCCAAACCCGAGGAATTACCACGAACCCGTGACCGTCGGATCATCGATCAATGTTGCCAACCACTCGGCCATGTGATCTCTTTTATTCACTCCAAACATCTCTCATAAGGTTTCGAAATGCTTTCAGTTGATTTAAAAGTATTTTAATCGTTAGAACGGCATATAAAAATGTTCTTACATTTATTCACAGAAAATGATAATTACGATAAAGTATGGAAAAATTTGATGTAGAAAAGCTATTTTATTCTCTCTTTAACTTTATACTCTCAAAAAGTGTTTACACGAGCAATTTCTTTTTTTTCTGGTTACAGTCCCTCCCTGCGCCTTTAATAAGCCCCCATATAGGTATTTTATCAAAAGTGAATCTTAAAACTTGAAAACGAGACTTTATTTCCTCTATCTACTCACATATTCATCTTTCCCGTCTGAAAAACCATTGATAACATCACCTAGCCGATTTTTGCTCTTCAATCTTGATTTCAAAACTCGAAAAGAGGGAGAAAAAGGCCTGAAAACGGCCTCATCAGTCGGGGAAAATCGTCGATTCGCGTGACACGACTCCATTACTCCCAGAAACTTGCCTCCACAAATTTGCCCTTTTCTCAAAAAAGATTGCTGGCGAGGATAAAGCTTGCTGGGAAGCTCGAGCTTCGTTTCATCGCATGTTAATATCTTTTTGAATTTTGAAATTACGGTTTTCTCAAAATTTTAGTGAGGTTTTGATTTGGAAAAAATGAAAAAAAAAAGTTTCTCCATTCATTTTATTCTTCTTTTTCCCTACTTTCGAATGAATAAATAAACGGTTTATAACGGAATCCACTAAGCTAGAACAAAATTCATAGAAATACTTCTTGCCATTTTTTTTTCACTCCTCATACTTCCAAGAACAACCTCAAGAAAGTTTTTTTTCCCGAAAAATTGCTTCCTTTCATGTCCCATGCCATTACTCTGGACCATTTTGGTGACTTATCTTTTCCTTTTTTTTCTTCCTTCGTTCCAACTGGTTCTCGTTCGTTTTTTTTTTGGTATTGACAAACACCGATAAAAGTTGAGAATCAATGGGAATTGCCGGAAAATTCCTGGGTTTTCGCCTTTCTTTTTTTTTCCTTTTTTTCGTGTCAGGAAAGTGAGTCACGATCTGTTTTGAAATCTTTGCTGATATGTTTAACCAAGCTCTTGAATATACTTTAAATTTATCTTTAGAAAAAAAGGCTCTTCGCTTCAGAAAAAAAGTATATAAATAATTTCCACGTCCCTTTAATAACTCCAACAAAAATATTATATTCAAAAAAATTGTTTTCACTCAAAAAGTCTAAAAAAAGAGATTTTTGAACAACACCTATTTCATAAAATCCATATTAATTTCCTTGTTTTTATTCATCCTGACCCCCAATTTTTTTCGCGTTTTTTTCCTACGTTTCTCTATAAGTTCCTCATATATTCTTTCATTTTTTTCAGGCAAATCATTGAATAATGTACACCTACGTCACTTTGGCCGTCTTTGTCGCTGTCGCTTTTGCGGCCAACGTCGACACCGACGTCAAGAACGCCGTCAACGAAGTCACCACCACCAAGGTGAATTTGGAGTTCTAAAATTTGTTTTCTGATATTATGAGCCTTATAAATTTCTAGATTTTTGAAACACGTGCCTTTTTAGAAAGTTTGAAAAAAAAAACATTTTTCATTGTCCGTACATTAAAATTACAAGTTTCAAATTTTTCAATTGTAATTTTGGCAACAATAGAACAATTGAAAATAATGAATATAGCGTACGCTAATCAATTGTCATTTTCGTAGAAGAGTTTCCGTAGTTTTTTTCAAAGTAGATGGCGGGCAACAGCTCAAAACGATCCAAACTGAAAAACCAGAATTAATTCGTGAAAATGTTTACGAAATCAAAGAGAAATTTTTTTGAAAAAAACCTTGAAAAGGTTACGGAAAACCCAAAAATTATTGCAAAGGATTTATAACAGTTTTTCATTCTCAGTCAAGCTCTTGTGAAAAAAATTTTTCTAACATCTTAGCAAAAGTTTTTCAAAAAAATATGTCAAATTCCACTAAAATGTTAAAACTGAGTTGACGTATTGACTTCAAAAAGTCTTCAAAAAGATTCTTTTCCCATTCTCTGAACTCATTTTTGAATGAGATAACAGAGAAAAAAAACGAAAAAAATTGAAAATAGTTGAAAAAAAGAAAAGGGAAAGAAAAAGCTTGTCAAGTAAAATGTTTTTTTAGTGCATAGTGGGAACGCGAAATCGCATGACCTAAAAATATGATAATTTTTTTATTTATATATATTTTTCAAATTTTAGAAGTTTTTCAAAGCTGTCTTGATACGAAATCTTTATAATTCACAAAAAAATATAAGTTTATTCAAAAATCGAATAAAAAAATAAAAAAACCTAGTTTTTATTTTTATTCCTTTTTTTCGTTTCTTTTTCAAATTTCGGTGATGAAAGAAAAAAATTATATAGACTGTTCAAAAAAATTCTTGCCTGGATGGAGAATAGACGAATTTCATAAGGCTCTTGAGGAGAAACGCCGTTTCAAGGGTTAATTTAGATAATTTCAAGCTTTTGCGCCTTTCAGCACTTTGGAAAGTCCTTTTGAGCCTACTGTAATTTGTTTTAGTTTTAAATTATCGGAAAAGTTTCATTTCAAGATATTAGATTTTACCGAATTCCGTCGAATGAGTGCGAAGAAGCTGAAAAAGATTTTTTTTGAAAAGTTCAGAAAAGTTTTTTTCAATAATAATTTCTTTTTTTCAGGATGGCGATACCTTCTGTCCAGTGCCAATCGTCGGAACGCCCTGCGGAAGTTCGTCAATCTTCCACTACTGGAAGTGCTGCGGAACGGCCAACAAGGAGTGCTGCTTCCAGCTCCAGGTAAATCTACCTGCAGAATCACTTTCCAACTGCTTTTCGATTATTATCCCGTTTTAAAAGTAATTTTCTCGAAATTAAAAATAATCTCTGCCTCTCCAAAATTTTGTTCTTTTCATTCTCTGACGCCTTTTTTGAATTTCACGAAATCACTTTGAAAATGGTATTACGTGGGTCGAAGAGAAATAATCCAGTTATCTGCGGATTAATTTTTCTTCCATGTTGAAATACGTTTCAAGATAGTCATATATTGAAAAGAGTTCTTTTTCATGTATTCCACTCTTTGAGAAATTTTTTTGAAAAAAAGATTTTCGAAAAAGTCTCACCAAAGACTTTCATTTGAAACAACGTTCATTTTTCATTCTTATAGTCAAAATTAATTATAGTACTTACCATTTTAAGCCGCCGAAAAGCGTGTAGAAGACAAAAAATCCCTGAAACGTGGGTATGAACATTGAAAGGAGCCAAATCTAAGTCGATATAATCAAGCCCCTCAAATATGTATGTCTTTTTCTAAGTAATTTTGATCAAAATAACTTTTAATACTCTCTTTTTTCTTCGTTTTCATTTTACTGTTTCAGGACAAGTTAGGTCCAGAAAAAAGAGCATAATTTTTTTGAGTTTTTTTCTCTAGAAAAAAAGGTTTTTTCTTCGCGAACGAATCGAGAAAGGGTATTGCAATACTGCCTGAGGTATTTCGAAGGGTCTGAAGTCTAACCATGGTACCACGGGTATACCTCTGCAAAATGCGACTTTCAAACATCTTTATTGATCAAATAGGGCTAACAGGTATACTGGAAGTCTCACTATAAACGTTTAATAGTCAGATTTTTCCGGCTTGAAAGACGAGATGGGTACTATTACATGGGGCGCATAGAGGCCACCACAACTCTTTCTCTGACACACACTATTTCGTCGTTATCTAGCTGCAAGAAAACGATGAAATAGCGTAGATGAGAAAAAAAAATTGTGGCGGTCTTTATGTGCCTCATTTCAGAGTAGATTTTCAAGGGCGAAGCGTTGCGTGTGCGACGAGGCTTTTTGGTAGGGATTTCGAGGTCAAACGCTATTCAGGAAATAAATAAGTTTTTTTCATCATTTTTTTGAGCTTTTATTCGTTTAAATGATTCTTTTCAAACCCATAAAAATTCACAACTTATTTAAAAACTGTCAAAAAAATGAGAAAGGTGGCTCGTTCTCCGTCAAAAAGCCGCGTCGCATACGCAACGGTTCGTCCTTGCCCATCTACCCATCTCGCCTGATTATATTAAATACTCACGACCCATTTTGAGAGTTATATTCGTGGACATCTTAAGATAACGTCCTCGACTTGTTTTTCCCCGTTACCAACCCGATTTTTCCAGACTTGGGTGATCGTCGTCCTCGCCGTCCTCGTCGTCGTCACCATCGCCTCGTTCGTTCTTTCAGTCCTCCGTTGCCTTTTCTGCCGCCGTTAATCAATATTAATTCACTTTTTTAAACTTCCATTATTTCTAGCTATCCTATTTTTTCACAATTTGCTGTACCTATCGACATTTTCTCTCACTTTCCACTGAATAAATGCATTTTTGGCCTCTATCCCTCAACGAATCGCTTCTGTTCTGCCGCCCCCATATATTTGCATAATTGTTTTTCTTCTCAGATTGTAAAATATATTTTGTAATTACTTTGGTATTGAATAAAATTTTCCAAAAATAGGGCGTTGTAAGAAGTTTAAAAAAAACTGTTTATTGCATCTTCAATTTAAGAATACATGTGCAATCGACTTTCATTGATTTTAACTGTGTTTAAACGGCGGCAGGAGCTGTGGCTTAGGCAGAGAAGTTGTGAATTTCGCTCGTAGAACATCAGGTACAAGAGAGGTCGTAGGAAGAAGTACGGTGCCGGCTTTCCAAAGACCGATGGCAGAGATTGAGCGTTGTAAGAAGAAGGGAAAACATATTTTTGGCGAATGATTACAGGCCTTCACTCGTAGTAACCGCTCAGACATCCAAATTTCAACTTTCAAGATTCGAAGAAAAAACTAGGCGACTACAAGTTTTTTTTTCTCAGAAGTTGGTTCAAACCTTCTGAAGATATTTTCGAAGTTTGATAAGGTGACAATACATGTGATAGGGATATCATTTCTTTCCATTGAATAACTTCTATCCTGCTCATACACTTTGTGTAAATTTTCATCAACTTGTGAATTTTTGAAGAATCAAGTGTTTTGAAAGATGAGGTTGAAGGAAAAAAAGTTTGTTGTGGAATAATTGCTGGTTTACACCCGCCTAAAAGGCTTAGACATCCAAATTTCAAACTTTCAAGGTGCTGAAGGGCTGGAATATTTTCCGAATCTCTTCTTTACAATTATTTCAGCTATTCTTCTTCCTCCCTGATCCATTCCATTCACATCCTAGCTCTGTAGAAATTTTCCAACGTCTTAGCAAAAGTTTTAAAAATAAGTCGAATGAGGGTTTTACCAAAAGACAAAACGATTCGATAAGATGGTCGAGTTGTCCCTTGTCATAGGATTACTTTTCTTCGCTCAAATCGTGTTTCTCGTTCTTCTCCACACTGTTTTCTTGATAATTCTCATAAAATGCTATTCAGAGGACAAGAAAGTGAGTTTTAACACATACATTTCAAAAATAGACATTCTATCCATTTCAGTTCGATTATTACGCAGCTGTGCCCTGGATGGAGCTTATAAGTCTGATTAGCTTTACTGGTGTAACTTCTCTCTTTTGTTTGTACGCTGTGGACTTTCCTGAAACCGAAGAGTTAATTATGATTTTCGGCTTTGTTACCATGTTGTGCCCTCATATTCTCATATTTATCGACTTTGTTTTGTGCCTCCACCGAGCTCTCTGTATTTTCAATATCGGCAAAGGCTTTTGCAGGAACTTTAAATGGTAAGATTCAATAAATAGGTACCTTGAAGTTTCGGTTTTTCGTACTGTGCACCACGCGAACCAAAAAACTGAAACCTCTTATTAACCTAGCTTGAACATACCTAGAAAGTATTCAAAATAAGCTTTACGGTGTAAAAATAATTTTTAACCTTAGCGAATTGACCAGGATATAATCGATTTTCGTCCATAAGAGGACAGTAGTGACTTCAACTTTTAGACTAAATGCTTTGTTCATGCATGAGGATCTCCAATAAATTGACAATCAATGAGATTTCAGGCCTTTAGGGCTCGCAATTTTGCTATCAGCTCCCTTCGGACTTTTAAATGTGACATACACGGCCGGTTACATATCAGTCACTATGACTGGGGACAAGGATCGCGTCAATGACATGGAGTTCTTCGAAGTTCCATTCAAAGTAAGGCTTTTTTCGAAGGGAAATATTGACCGAGCCTCCGAGAAGAGGATCAGAGAAAGTCACCAAAAGATAACAGCATGTCGTATATTAGGCATTCGCTTTCAAATCATTTCCAAACTTAGATGTCTTTCTATTCTCTCTACCCTCCCTGTACAAAAAAAACTTCTAGCCGAGAATATTCAGGTAGCCGCCACTGTCAGAATGATACTGATAATATCTACACCCTGCGGTTACTTACTTATTTTATGGAGAATAAGTAAGCAAATGGCAATGTCCTCGGTTTCCAACACCAAAAGTCACAGGACAATTGTTCTTCAGGCTTTGCCAGTATCGATCTACTCTTTCGTGAGTTCTAAAACAATTCCACGAAGCTCAAAAAAGTCTAATAAACTTTAGATAACTTCTTTCGAAAGGTACCTCATGGTTAATCCTTTAGTAAATAAGGTAATAAGTGATGCTGGTGGAATGTTGATTTTTTCGAGCATCCTCATGTCAGGTATGAGCGTTTCTTTAAAATTAATTAATTTGAGCTTGCAGGTTATGTTGTACCTTTATCGTTTATAATTGGAAACTCGCAAAAACGCAAGATGTTCTGGTCCATAATATCTTTGGAGTTTCTTCGAAAGCCGAGGACCGTTTCAACTGTCAATGGGAAAAGCCACGATACCATGAACTAAATTGTTTTTCTAAAGCAAAATTTATTTGTTCCTATCTGTTCGTTAAAATTTGATCAATCAATCATATCCGTTGGTCTCTTTTTTTCAATTAATAACTTAAAAATCTTCGGATGCGTCTTCAGGCTCTACCTTTTTAATGTTTCTATTTTTCTCAGCCACTCAATTCAATTGTATTATTTTTCACTGCATGGAAATTACCTTGCGAATATTTGTATGTAGAATAAACTATTTTGAGCAAAAAGGTGAAAGAAAAAAAAAGAGAGAAAGTTTATCTTTGGGCGAATAATTACAGGCTCACCTCCGTCGTGACCGCTCAGACATTCTAATTCAAACTTTCCAAATTTGAAGAAGCGAAAATTTTTTCGCCCTATACTTAAGTCAACTAGTCACTTTTCCATTCTTTCTCGCAGCAAGGATGAACTTTCGTGAAAAATTGATATACGTATTTATTTTCATCAAACTATTCTTTCCAATTCAGTTTCTGTTTATTTTTCTCCTTCACTTTATTTTTTTATTGGAATCCTTATAAAATGCTATTCAGAAGACAAGCAAGTGAGCTTCTATCTATGAAATAAATTATCACAAAGATTAAATGCTGAACTCACTAACCATCCTAACATATCTTTTAATAATTGCTGTATTTTTCAGTACAATTATTACGCCGCCGTGCTCTGGATGGAGTTTATAAGTCTCGCTGGTTTAACAAGTCTAGTTTTTGATATTTATCTTATATTTCTCTGGATCTCCCGAGATATACGGCTTTATTTCAATTTGCTTCTTTGTTTCCATGTCTTGTCCTTACAACCTCATATTCATCGACGCTGTTTTATGTCTGCATCGAGTTTTCAGTTTTTTCGATGTTGCGAGAGGATTTTGCAGGCATTTCAAATGGTATGATTGAAATTATATTCTCACAAAGAAGCTTTAAAAAAATACACATCAAAGAGAATTTAAACATAGCAGGTCAGATAAAAAAAACGCTTGTCACCTTGATCAACTCTCAGCTTTCAGTTGATACGCGTTCTATCTGACATCAATAATCGAAAAAAATATTTGAAAAAAAGCTTTTCTAATGTATCAAAAACTCTAAACACCACTCGATGTTTTGATAAATAGAAAAATTAGATATATTTTTCTAATAGCCGGAATGAAAACTTTTCTAATCTATAAGGGCTCCATGTGGTTCACGATACTTTTTATCGAAAGGGTCATTACTACCTGAGAAAATTCGAGAGAACAGTTTGTTAATGGATAGAAAACATAAATTTCAACATATTTTGCATCTATTAGTTTGCCATGAAATTCCAACTGATGCATGCAAAATCTGAGTGTCTTTTCGAATAAACGTTATTAAAACTTTCTCGAAATTACAGGCCCTTGGGATTCGCAATATTCTTGTCGATGCCATTTGTACTAATTATTTACATCTACACGACGGCTTACATCTTTTTTAGTATGACCGGGGACGAGCTTTACGCCGCAAACATTGCGCTTTACAAAGCACCCTACGAAGTGAGATTTTTCTCATTCTCCCACTTCAATTATTTCAAATTCAGTTTTCCATGAAAATCAAACTGATACTCACGATATCTACCCCATGTGGTTATCTACTTATTCTTTGGAAGATACATAAGCAAATTTCCACATCTTCAGTTTCTAACATTCGAGGACATAAGTCAATCGTTCTTCAGGCTTTGCCGATTTCGATTTATTCTTTAGTGAGTTTCAAATTACTTCTCCTTCCGAAAAAATGTCTTCAGATGACGTCATTCGACGTTTATTTGATACCGATTTCCTTAGATTATCACGTCGGTGAAGCTGGAGCCACTCTCTACCTTCTGAGCATCCTTATGTCAGGTTTGAATTATTGATCTTTTGTTAACTTTCTTAATATTCAGCCTATGTTGTACCTATATCTTTTCTCATCGGGAACTCTCAGAAGCGAAAAATGTTCTTATCATTGATTCGCTTGGATTTCATGCGAAATTCAAAAGTTCATGCAGAAAGCCCTGCAACGACAAACTGATTACTCAATTAAAATAATTGGGAGTCGAAGAACACTTCTATAAAAAGTAACATCTCTTTTTTCTACAATTTTTTGCTAACTATCTCAGCTATCACGTGAGAATTCATCATGTGGGAATCAAGTACAAATTTGCTAGTAGTGTTAACTTTTTTCCAATTTCTTGTGGAAAGGAAATGAGAACTTGCTAAGATGTACTATAGAGTAGGCTGATAACGCTTCAATAACGAAATTATTGTTTTTTGGGCTTTCAGATGACTTATCCTAATTTTCACGCTAAAAATGCTGCAGAAAAAGAGGATTTGGCGTGTTGAGGTACCATATTTCGGCAAAAAGCGTGAAACTTCTTTTTTAATAACAAGCTAGGGCACTTTTTAATATATTCAGAAGGATATTTCCTTCTTCGATTTTATACAAATTTCGTTCATAACTTTTTTGACGTGCTGAACTCAGAAAATAGTTAAAGATAACCATTTTACTTTTCATCTTCCAATTGAGTTATTTAAAATTTTTTTGATTTTATTAATCTATCCTACTTCTTATCATATCTTTTTCTGTTGTGATCTTCCGTATAAACTTTTATTTTTTATTTTTTCTTCTTCTGGATCCCTAGACTTCCACCTTTGAGTGGAAAAAAAAACTTTCCGTTTAGTGAAAAGGGATTAAAAAACAAAGAACAAGATAATTATTCCGACGAAAAAAGTGAATAAACCTTTACACAGGTGCACCTGGCACAACACGGCAACTTTTAAGAATTCCAAACTCAAAGAAAAAAGTACAAATCAACATTTCTATTCCGCTGCTGGACAGATCTACTATACAATGGTTTTCTTCGAACAGATCCTACTTTTTTCCGAAAAGATGAGCTTTCTCTACGAACTGATAGCTACGCTCATGTCCGTTCAGTTTTGTGTTCTTGGAGTTCTTCATGTTATTTTCATCTTGATCCTTATGAAATGCTATTCCGAAGACAAAAAGGTGAGCTTTTAATGAGTTTCAAAGACATCTGGTCAGTAAGATATATTTCCATATTTTAGAGCTTTATGTCGCAGTTTTTTTGAATGTGCCGTAAATTTTATAATGACTGTATTTTTTTGTGAAAAAAACTCAAATTCAATTAGAAAAAAAGCAAAATTTTTTTAATCGAAAACTTTCCAAACCTGTTCTGATTGGAATGAGGGACAGTTTCATTGGATCCTTCGACACCCAATAAAAAGCTCTTCCAGATGGAATTTACATCTCGAATCTTATTTTTTTTAATGATTGATGAAAAAAATTTTTGTAAATTCAATCTTTTTCTGTCTTAAAAGGCGATAGGAGCCGATCGGAAGACGTCGTATCTGATATAGTCAATCTTTTGCGACTTTAAAGGCGGGATTGAAAAAGTGAAGCGTTGCGTACGCGACGCGGCTGTTGACGGGAAACTCGAGGTGAAAGCACTTTTTTGATAGCTTGTCAAAGATAGCTGAAAGGTCATCATTTTGAAAAAAAGTTAATTGAACGAATCAAAGTGAAAAAATAAAAGACAAACCATTTTTTTTTAATTTGAAAATTATGGTCTTCGACTTCAAGTTCCTCGCCGAACGCGTCGCTTTAGCCAATCTACCCATATCACAATTCTTTGATCTTAGAAGTTCAAGATTTTCCAGTTTGATTATTACGCAGCGGTGCCTTGGATGGAGCTGGTGACTCTCCTCGGCTTCACTTCACTGTCAGTTATCATGACGTTATATGTCGTGGGTGCAAGTGGAAACAGGCTCTTTGACACAACTTGTTTCTATTTTTCCATGGCTTCTCCTTATACATTAATATTCATTGACGCTATCCTATGCCTTCATCGTCTTTTCAGTTTTTTCGACACTGCGAAATTTTTTCGCAGAAACTTCAAATGGTGGGCCTCAACTAGCGTAAGGCAAAATTTCATCACCTCGGTTTGGGAGAACAGCTTAAAATGCAATTTAGACAAGTTTTTTCAAAAATTCACTCGAGGACTAGTAAAACGCCTTGTGAGAGCGTCAAACTATGAAAATTCCTTCGATCGCGTGAAACTTGCACATTTTAAGAAAAAAAAAAATGAATTCTGCCATCTAAAAAGTCATCCGAGATCTGAGTTGCAAGCTAAGAAGCCGCTTTTAGAGCCCTAACTGCTCGTTGAATAAAGATATCGTTCCAGGCCTTTGGGTTTCGCCATATTGATATCGCAGCCTTTTGCAATATCGATGCTAATATACACGGCCACGTATATTATGTACAATATCAACCAGAACGAAATTCTTGCAGAAAACCTTGAAATTTTCCGATCTTCATACAATGTAAGTTATTTTTGTGTCTAGCCATCATGAAAAAAACCCTTCGACTTTCTCAGCATGATAAACTGCAATGAGAGCTTTATTGTGAGTTTTCAGGTTGCCGTAACCGTAAAAATGGTTCTGACGGTATCTACACCTTGCGGATATATACTTATTTTGTGGAGCGTAAGTAAGCAAAAAGCCATGAATTCTGCTTCGAAGTCGCAGAGTCATAAGGCGATCGTTCTACAGGCCTTGCCGATATCGATATACTCGTTTGTAAGTTAGAGCTAAAAGCTCAAAATAATCAATCCCTACAGGCTGCGTCCTTCGACAAATATCTTCTCGTTCTCACTTTTGAAGATCACGTTATGAGTAAGGGAGCGGCTTTTTTATACCTCTCAAGCATTCTTATGTCAGGTTTGATAAAATCAATTGTTTTCTCATCCCAATTTCGAAGTTACAGGTTATGTTGTACCTTTATCGTTCATCATTGGTAACACAAAGAAACGTCAAATTTTCTTGTCTTTGATATGTTTGAAGTCTATTTCGACGACTGAAAACTTCACGAAAACAAGGGTGTCAACAATTAACTTTCCAAGCTCTGCTACTATAAATTGATTCGTTTGTGTTATTTTTTCAAAATCCTACGTGTCTTTTTTGTATTTGCTTTGGAAATAAGTTTTTTGCAAGGTTTTTTTTTCTCGAAGAAGAAGGAATTCATACAGGAACTCATACTTTCAAGCTCCCGTTTTGGTTTCGTTTTCTTCCCTTTCATCAATAATATCTTGATTTTTGATATATATTTTTTCGAATCCGGCAAAATAAGGAGCAAAAAATCGGCACATTTCATCGAAGTTCAATGAAATCCGCGTTCATTCTTCGAGCTTTGGAGTGAAAATTTCTGGTCATTATTTTGCTTCTGAGAAAAGAGGGACGATAATTCATGAAATTTATCGTTTTTTTCAATAACATTAGAAGGTAATCGGGAGGAATAAATAAGATAGATAATTTTTATGATCAAGAAACATAGCCAAAAAGAGGCAGTTTCTGGAGATTTAGTTCATATTTTCAATTTCTAAAGCATGCGTTGTACAATTCCATCAACCCAATCTCCCAAAAAAGTTTTTTTCTGTTTTTTTTTCCAGAAAAATCAGATTATCTTTTATTTCAAGTGAATTTTAGTTTCTAGTGTAAGGTGAACTTTTTTCACCTGCCTGAAATTCTCAAACTTTGGAAATTGAGCTATATAAATGAAAATACCACGACAACAAATTGCACCTGCTTCGATATTTGCTGACTCTGAGATATCTACTTTGAAATGTTTTCCGTGATATCCTGGAATCGACTTCTTCTTACACGCTGACGTGTGATTATTCAAAGCACCTGTTCCCAAAAATGAGAACTTAAACTGGTCTCAGAGAGCTGGAAACACTTGAAAACGGATATATACGATTCACTGCTAACTTGGAACGTGTCCTGCCGCCCTCTCCCCAAACCAAGCACTACCTATTTTTTCAAATCGTTGTAGGATCCTTTTTCAACGGCTAAAGTCAGTCGTGAAACAACGATATATAGTTTTTGGCGAAACTACCTGTATAACTGTTTTAAAAAACGCTTTTGAACATTCTAAAACAGATGAATAACTGATCAACCAATGAAAAACTGTATTTGGGAGCATCCTGCTAACATCCCCCAGCTACAAGTTTAGAAGTTGAGCAATTAAAAAGTATTTTCCCTCAACTGAAATGTCGCTTTTATCATCATCGGATATACATGACTTTTTGAGCGAAACAGGAAGTCCCGACTACTTAAACTTTAATAAGTACACGATCAATGTATTCTTAACTACTCAATGCTTCTTTCTTGCTGCCCTTCACATCATCTTCATTGGAATCCTCATAAAGTGCCATCCAGAAGACAAAAAGGTAAAAGATTCGAACTTATTGTAAGCTTCGGGAACTTCTGAAAATTTGACAGAAAACTTTATGATGTCCAATATTAAGGACCTTGTGTCATCTTTAAAAGAATTTGGTGTTTTCCAGAAATCGAGGCTCGAAGCCTCACACTAGCCCATTTCAGCGGTTTGGATGATTTTCTTTGACCCTAACAAGGCTTTTTTTTTTGAAAACTAGGGAGTTTAGCTGGCTGGATCTTCATTTTTAACATCAAAAACTATTCTCACAGTGTTCCCAAACGGGCGGCAGCTGTGGTCAGTAGGCGTGGCTGACTGCAACAGCGGCACGGTTTATTGCAACAGGGGCGCGGGGATGAGAGTCAAGTTTTGTGGATTTAATGGTTGGAAAAAGACCATTTAATGATGTTTTACCTAGGTTTTTGCACGTTTTCAAAGATTTTTATTGTGTATTAAATTATAACGAACAAATTTAAATAGATAAAGAGACGAAAAAGTTTTTGCAAAACAAAATATCTCCCTATATGTCGTTTTTTAGGAAAACTCGTCAAATCGAACTTCCAAAGAGAAAATTGAAAATAACTCAAAGCATTCCTCTTAGGAAACTCCATTTGAACGTTTTAAAACAAAAACAAATACATAATAGCTTGTGCGAGAAAAGTTGTCACCCAAAATGACATTTTCAAGAATAAATTCGTCGAAAACTGCCTCGAAAAAAAATTTTTGAGAACAATTTCAAAGCGTTTCTCTTAAGACATTTGAAGATTCTAAAACAAACGAAATATCTTATGCAAAATAAG